TGAGACCAGCATGGCCAACTTAGTGAGACCTCGTCTCTACAATAAATAAAAAATTAGCCAGGAGTAGTAGCACGTGCCTGTAGTTCTGGCTACTTGGAGGGCTGAGGCGGAAGAATAATCAGAGCCCAGCAGGTTGACATTGGGGTGGCCGTGAGTGAGCCACTGCACTCCAGCCTGGGCGGCGGAGTGAGACTCCAAATTTAAAAAAAAAGTGGAGCTCAGGTGGTAATGTGAGTGCTTGAGAACAACTGTAAATACAGATGAAGCTTCGCTCACTCTCCTGCCTCTCACCTCCTGCCATGAGGCCCAATTCTTAACAGGTCATGGACTAGTACTGGTCCATGGACCAGAAGTTGGGGGCCCCTGATCTAAAGAGATGGTTTGCTTTCCTACTGACACAGCCACTGCTTGAAAGCCCTCTGATACTTGCTGAACTTGAGGGCCAGGAGGGTAGAGGTGGTCAGTGTTTGTTAATGGCCACCACATCCAGTTTGCCTCTCATTCCTAGGCATACAGAAGACAACACTAGTCAGTTCCCTCACTCTTAGGCAGAGACGGAGGATGAGTTCTGGACAACAGAAGAGTGTGTGGAGTGTAAAGTGTCACTTACCGACTGAGGCAGTAAGAAGCTCTACAAGTTCTCTCTGCTCTTTCTCTTGCCTCAGTCATAGCCACAAGTTCCCCAGTAGCTGCAGATAAAAGCAGCCTGGATCCCTGAGACACAACTTGGAAGAGAGATGCCCTAAAGAGTCACTGAGCCCATAGTGGACTTTTTGTGAATGAGAAATAATTTTTAAACTTTAAGCTTCTGAGACTTTGGGGTTTGCTTGTTATCAGAACATAGCCTGTTCTGACCTTGCCAATATAACACTGGACTCTACACAGGGAAATCAGTTCAGTATTTTACTTCTACATAATGTAGAGTTCATCTAATTTCTTTTTCTTTTTCTTTTCTTTTTTTTTTTGAGTTGGAGTCTCACTCTGTCACCCAGGCTGGAGTACAGTGGCATGCTCACAGTCACCACAGCCTCGACCTGCTAGGCTCAGGGGATCCTTCTGCCTCAGCCTTCCAAGTAGCTGAAACTACAGGCACACACCACTATGTCTGGCTACTTTTTTTGATTTATTGTAGAAATGAGGTCTCGCCAAGTTGACCAGGCTGGTCTTGAACCCGTGGGCTCAGGAAATCCTCTCACCTTGGCCTCCCAAAGTGCTGGGATTATAGGCGTGAGTCACCGTGCCTGGCCTATCTAATTTCAAATAGTCACTATTTAGTTTGGTTATTTGTCATCATGCTTTGAAAGTTATTACAAATGAATGTTGTTTGACTATTTTTAAAAATTAGGTCGAAAGTGAAAAGCTTGCTTCCACACTCATTTTGAGCTAAGGCAGCCTTCTTCTAATGCCTCCAATGTGCCGAGCAGTGTGGCAAAAATACCAGTAGTCCCAGCTACTTGGGAGGCTAAAATGGGAGGATCCCTTAAGCCCAGGAGTTCATGTGCAGCCCAGGCAACATAGCAAGATCCCATCTCTTTAAATAGATAGATAGTCTTCAATGGCAACTACTTAGAACAATTAGAGTAATTTGTTTGCCTAAGCTCTGGTGTTATGTTTAAAATCAGTCATACTACTCTATGGTTGTAGATTTTATATTTCTATGTATTTTTTAGATTTTAACAATTCAGTCCAAGTAATTTAAGACAGTCTCACAGTTTAGTCAAAATATTGTCTGATGTTTCCATTAGAAAAATTAATGATTAATAATAGAAATATCAGAAAAATTAATAATAATTGCTATCACTTAGTAACAAGTCCCTAACACACATTATATCCACCTTTACATACATTATATCTAAACCTCAAAATAACCCACTTTTTTCATCAGGGTCATATGGAGACAGACAACCAACAGGATGTTGAAGAAGTCCAGAATGCACCATTATGACATAAAAAATCTTCTTCTTCTTCTTCTTCTTCTTAATATTATTATTATTATTGAGTTGAAGTCTCACTATCGCCCAGGCTGGAGTGCAATGGCACACTCATGGCCACTCTAGCCTCAACCTGCTGGGCCAAGCAATCTTTCATTCTGTAGCTGGAACTATAGATGTGTGCCACCACGCCTGGCTAATTTTTTAATGTATTGTAGAGATGAGATCTCACCAAGTTGCCCAGGCTGGTCTCGAACCCTTGGGCTCAGGCACTCCTCTTGCCTCCATTTCCCAAAGTGCTGGTATTACAGGCATGAGCCACCACAACCAGACTAAAAATTATTTTGAGCTGAAGTGACTTGCAAATCAACAAATGTATTCCCCATCCTACCTAAAAGCAGAGCTCCAAAAGAACTCAACTGTCATAAATTACCTGCCTGGGAGTTTCCCAAGCAGGGAAGATTAACTCCTGTCACTGGGGACAGAGAAAGCACCACACCTAGACAGACATTGTCACAAAGCCAGCATAGCTTCCTGTTATTCTTCTAAGGATCCGTTTATCGTTCCTAAAAGTCATTTGTTTTCCCATAAGTGTCCTTTCTTTTCACTCTCCCTGCAAGAAGTCATTTGCTTTTCCCAAGTGCCCTTCTCCCCCTTGCTTTTATTTATTAAGATTGTCATCTCCTAGTCACAATTTTCTGTGAATTCCTGCCTATGTATGTGACTGGAAATCTATTTTTTCCCTTGCTAATCTATTTTTTGTCAGTTTCATTTGCAGGTCTCCAATAACTGAACATGAGGGTAGAGAAAGTGTTTCTGAGCTGGGTGCGGTAGCTCACACTCAGAAATTTGGGAGGCTGAGGCAGGAGATCACTTGAGGCCAGGAGTTTGATACCAACCTGGGCAACACAGTAAGACTCTGCTTCAATAATAATAATAATATATAAAAAAGAAAGTGTTTCCTCCTTGATAATGTGAAAAATATATATAACATATATAATACATATATAAATTTATTTTAAGAAATTGATCACAAAAAGAAAAAATAAGTAGAAGCTGATTGTTGAGGTCTAGCAAGTCCAAAGGCAGCAGGTTAGCCCAGCAGACTGGAAACCTAAGAAAGAAGTGCAGTTTGAACCCAAAATTTCAATCATGTTGTGAATTCCCATTTTCTCGAGGAGGGTAGTCTTTTTCTATCAAAGCCTTCAACTGGATGAGGCCTACTCACAGTTTGGAGGGTAATATACTTTATAAATGTTAATCTCATCTAAAAATCTGCACAGAAACATCTAGAATAATGTCTGACCAAATATCTGGGTACTGTGGTCTAGCCAATTTGACATGCAAAATTAACCACCACACTCATAAACCTGCCATTTTATATATGAGAATATTGAGACCCAAATAAAGTAATTTAATTGCTTGAGGTAAAATGGCCAGTATATTAGCATGGAACATGAATTACAACTCTCAATTTTCTTCCTACAAAACATAGTCACCCACTGCCAAAAGTCTTTTTACAGATCAAATTCTATTTATTTTTTCTTCTAAAATATCTTGGTATTATTATTTCATTATAAACAATAAAATTTAACTTTCCTGCCGGGTGTGGTGGCTCGTGCCTGAAATCCCTGCACTTTGGGAGGCCGAGGTGAGGGGATTGCCTGGGTTCGAGACTAGCCTGGACATCTTGATGAGACCTCATCTCTACAATAAATAAAAAAATTAGCCGGCTGTGGTGGTATATACCTGTAGTTCCAGCTACTTGGAAGGCTGAGGCAGAAGGATCGCCTGAGCCCAGCAGGTCGAGGCTGCAATAGCTGTGAGCATGCCACTGCCCTCCAGCCTGGGTGGCAGAGTGAGACTCCAACTCAACAACAATAACAAAAATTTAGCTTTCCTAAAATGCATCTTAACTGTTCTTATCAACTAGCAACATCCGTTGTACTCACTAAATAGCTGAATAAGTGATGATATCCTATGGGAGATATTTGAAAGGAACAGAATTTTCCAGAGGTATGACTGATAATTGTAAACGTTTTTATTTTAATTATTTTTGAATTGATAATACATTCATATGGTTCAAAATTCAAAAGACAACAGGGATCTATCGTGAGAATCCTGATTTGTACTCCTGTCATGAGTCCCCAATTTCCCTTTATCAAAAGTAAACAATCTTTTTCTTTTCTTTCTTGAGTTGGAGTCTCACAGTGGCCGCTCCCAGCCACCGCAGCCTCGACCTGCTGGGCTCCGGCGATCCTTCCGCCTCAGCCTTCCGAGTAGCTGGAACTACAGGTGCGCGCTACCACGCCCGGCTAATTTTTGATTTATTGTAGAGATGAGGTCTCGCCAAGTTGCCTGGGCGGGTCTCAAACCCGGGGGCTCAGGCAATTCACTCACCTCGGTCTCCCAAAGTGCGGGATTTACAGGCTGAGCCACCGAGCCCGGCCAGAAGTAAACAATCTTATAAATTCCTTGAAATATTCTATATAACTATTTAAGTTACATATTCTTTCTCTCTCTCTCTCTCTTTTTTTTTGAGTCAGAGTGTCACTCTGTCGACAAGACTGGAGTGCAGTGGCATGCTCACAGCCACTGCAGCTTGTATCTGCTCGGCTCAGGCAATCCTTCCACCTCAGCCTTCCAAGTAACTGGAACTACAGGTGCGCGCTACCACATACGGCTTATTTTTTTATTTATTGTAGAGATGAGGTTTTGCCAAGTTGCCCAGGCTAGTCTTGAACCTGTGGGCTCAGGAAATCCTCTTACCTCGGCCTCTCAAAGTGCTGGGATTACAGGCGCGAGCCACCGCACCCGGCTATTTTTCTCTTTTTTATTGCAAGCTGTTTTGCACTTCATTTTTTCACCTTAAAATACATCTTGGAGTTTGTTCCATATCAAGCACTCATAGTATTTGAAAGTATCAGAAATACTTAACCCTATAATATGCAGATAATGATAGGAAAGTAATAATACTTAATTCCAAGATTTTGCCACAAATCTAAAGTATTCTCGAAATTACTGTGGACAATACTGATATCAGCAATTGTCTGTTACATGGTAGTTTACCTGCTTCCTAAGCGTTGCTCTGGTTTCTTAGCCAAGAAGAGTCTGCAAATATCCTTTGCTTCCTCTGTGAAGTTGTCATGTTGGAATTTGACTTCCTCTTGCAGCGTTCTGTGCTTTAGATCCTCCTTACTGAGTTTTTCCTTGAAATCTTTGAATGGTGTTCGTCCAGCAACCATTTCATAAATACTGCATCCCATTGCAAACCAGTCAACAGGATAGGAATAACTCACCTTATCCATTAGGATTTCAGGAGCCATGTAACCATTGGTTCCAGCCTATAACACCGCAAAAAAAAAAAGACAAAACAAAACAAAAACACTAAGGTGAGTGTAGTAGACACTGCTGGCTGTCTAACCAATACTCCTCCTTTTCTTTCCTTGATCAGGGAGACTAATTTGTGTGGAGTGGCAATGTGTCTAATCTACTCCTTCTTGGCTTTCCCAGCAGCACCCAGTGCAGCCAGGGAGGCCATGTGATCCATTCCGGCTAATGAAATAAAGACTTGGTGGCTGAGATCATTATAAAAGTGGGAAAATCACTTAACCTCTTTGTCTCATCACCCTCATCTTTTTCTTTTTTTGAGTGGGAGTCTCACTCTGCTACCCAGGCTGGAGCGCAGTGGCACACTCACAGCCACTCCAGTGTTGACCTGCTGGGCTCTGGCGATCCTTCCACCTCAGCCTTCCAAGTAGCCGGAACTACAGGCACGTGCTACCATGTCTGGCTGATTTTTCATTTATTGTAGAGACGAGGACTCACCAAGTTGGCCATGCTGGTCTCGAACCTGTGGGCTCAGGCAATCCACTCCCCCTGACCTCCCAAAGTGCTGGGATTACAGGTTGAGCCACCAATCCCGGCCTCATCACCCTCATCTTTGAGATGAATAGTTCAAGTGGATGAATCTAAGATCTCCACTTTTTTTATCGACAGATTAAAAAAAAAACTAGATGCATATTTTTGTTTAAGGCTTAACATTTTATTATTAATATTAAATATTCAGAAAGTAATATCTAGTTTATGATGTTTCTTACTCTATTTGCCATGTAATAACATTAACATCACACATCTCTGCCTGTCTCTGCATTGAATAATTAACACTATCATTTTAATTTTAAAAATTCTGCACATTGGCCAGGCGCAGTGGCCCATGAGGCGGGAGGATCACTTGAGCCCAGGAGTTTGAGACCAGCCTGCCGGAGGATTGCCTGAGCTAAGGAGTTTGAGGCTGCAGTGAGCTATGAATGTGCCACTGCACTCCAGCCTGGTTGAGAGTGAGATTCTGACTCAAGAAAAAAAAATTCGATGCATGAAATTTCATTTAACATGAATGACTATATATTGTAGGCACTCCTCTACTTTCAATATATGCCAAATGGTCGTGTGTGTGTGTGTGTGTGTGTGTGTGTGTGTGTGTGTGTGCACGCGCACGCATGTGCATGAGAGAGAACCTCCCAACACTGAAAAAACAGAACTGTCTTTTGGAGGGCAAGTCTTTTACAACACACTTGGAATTTGTTCTTCGGATCAAATGGTGAACCAAAGTTTTTATCTGGAAGTTTTGAGAAGGTTGCCTCACAATTTGTGGAAGAAATGTCCTTGTTGTGGCACACAGGTGACTGGTTCTTTCCTACCTTGACAATGCACCTGCCTACAGTGCACTGAGGTTCAGCAGTTTTTGTACTAAAAACGGCATGGCCCCTGGGTCGGCATGGCCCCTGGGTCCCACGCTCCCTATTCACCCAATCTTGCCCTGAGGGACTTTTCTTTGTCTCCCGGATGAAAAAGTTCCTCAAAGGGATACGTTTTGCTGATCTGGAAGAGGTGAAGCACAAAAGGGCAGAGGCACTAAAAGGCAAATGGACATGCTCAGAAACTGTTTTGAGCAGTGTCTATAGGTGTATTGCTTCAAACGGAGAGTGAAAATGACTTTAACTACTTTGAAAGTGACTGAAGTTTAAACATGTGAGAATAAATACATTATTTTTAATAAATAAATTCTGGTTTTGGGGCGGTCCCCCCAAACATGCACACACATATATAATTGTATGTAACATTTATATAATATGCTCATATAATGTAACATACTTATGTAATGTAATAGACATATAATGTAATATACATATATAATGTAATAGACAAAGTAATACACTCATGTATTTATGTGTAATATATACATGTGTAATATAATACATAATATATTATATATAATTGCATGAAATATAATTATGATAATATACTTGTAGCATGTGTGGTAAAATACACATAAAATTTACCATCTGAACCATTTTTTAGTGTAAATTCAGTAGTGTTAATTACATTCACCCTGTTGTGCAACCAATCTCCAGCACTTTTTTCATCTTGCAAAACTAAAACTCTATACTCTTTTTTTTTTTTTTTTTTTTTTGAGTCAGAAGCTCACTCTGTTGCCCAGGCTGGACTGCAGTTGCACACTCATGGCCACCACAGCCTCAACCTCCTGGGCTTAGGCGATCCTTCCACCTCAGTTTTCCAAGTAGCTGGAACTACAGGCATGCCCCACTACGCCTGGCTACTTTTTTGGTTTATTGTAGAGAGGAGGTCTTGCCAAGTTGCCTAGGCTGGTCTGAAACTCGTGGGCTCAGGCAATCCTCTTGTCTCAGCCTCTCAAAGTGCTGAGATTACAGTGAGCCACAGTGCCCAGCCTAGTATATGTTTTTAATATACACAGTATATGTAATGCTTTAGAAACATGAAATTTCTTAGCTAATTTCTACATGGATCACAATCATGAAAAAACATAAACAATCCAAGTAGTGCTAATAAAGAGTAATTGGCTATACAAGAAAATTCTGTAAGTGACTAGGGTCTAACAGGCTGAGGCTGAGTCAGCATAGCATTGCTGTTTTCAGAGAAGCCAGTGTATAATTTGAGTGACCATATGTTCCGGTTGGCCTGGGACAGTCCCAGTTTACATCTGTTGCCCTGGCATCTTGTCCAGTTTTACATTTGTCCAGACAAAACGGTCCTGCAGGCGCCTCTGAGGCCCAGGATATAGGCTTACTCATCTTTGTATCCAAATCCAGGCACTTATCAGGGCCTCACTTGATGCATGCCCAACAAAACACTTGTTAAATAAACACCAGTAAAGACGGTGACGAGATGTTTTCCATTCATTACGCAGAAAACATTGGTTGAGTCATGCCCTGTGATGTGTTCCAGGGATACCAAGACATGTAAGGCCTGGCCTCTGCCCTTGAGGATTTAGAGACTGGTAGAGACAGGCAGGTCAGAAGGTTAATTCAATAAAGTAGAGCAAATGCCATAATGGGAGTGTGAAGCAAGTGCAGAGAGGCCTGAGGGGTGTGTGTGTGTGTGTGTGTGTGTGTGTGTGTTGGGGATATTTCACTGAAGAGCCACACTGAGCTGAATCATGAGGGAAGAACTTATGACACCCAGAAGGTTGCCCAGGGAATGAGCATGTGCAAGAAATGGGGTCAGGAAAAATGTGGAGTGTTCAGAGAACTTTAAAGAGTGTGGCATTTCTGGGATTTGGGATTTGTGGGATGCCATGGTGGGAGGGGATAGCACAGTAGAACAGCCACTGGACAACCTGGGTTGGAAAAAGAGATGTTGATGAGATTGAGAAACTCTGCATGCCTGGGTAGAAAAACCCATTCATAGCCCATCCTTTCCCTTGCCTCCCTCTACCTTAGAGGCCCGATGCCTAAAGACACTAATATCCCAGCCTCCTTTGCCCGCAGGGTAGTGATATGAGCTATATTTGAGAGGTGTGAAAACTAATAGTGTTGAGGGTTGGGAAAAAGGGAAGCCAGCTTACTTGGAAATAACATAAAAGATAGACAGCAGGGCTGAGCACGGTGGCTCATGCCTGTAATCCCAGCATTTTGGGAGGCAGAGGCGAGAGGATTGCCTGAGCCCATGGGTTCGAGACCAGCCTGGGCAACATGGTGAGATCTCATCTCTATAATAAATTAAAAAATTGCCAGGCTCGGTGGCTCAGCCTGTAACCCCACGCCTTGGGAGGCTGAGATGAGTGGATTGCCTGAGCCCGTGGGTTCAAGACCCGCCTGGGCAACTTGGTGAGACCTCATCTCTACAATAAATGTAAAAAATTAGCTGGACGTGGTAGTGCATGCCTGTAGTTACAGTTACTTGGAGGGCTGAGGTGGAAGGATTGCCAGAGCCCAGCAGGTTGAGGCTGCGGGGGCCGGGAGCGGCCACTGCACTCCAGTCTGGGTGACAGAGTGAGACTCCAACTCAAAAAAAAAAAAAAAAATCAAAAAATTAACTGGGCGTGCATCTGTAGTTCCAACTACTTGGAAGGCTGAGGCGGAAGGATTGCTGTAGCCCAGCAGGTCGAGGCAGCAGTGGTCATGAGCAGCGTGCCACTGCACTCCAGCCTGCGCGACAGAGTGAGACTCTGACTCAAAAAAAGATAGAAGACAGATTACATGGATGGATACAAGACAGGGAGACAGATAGACAAGTGAAAAAGCAAACCTAGCAGCATGTTAATGATAAACTCAGGAATATTATCTGGCCGTAGAAAATACATGAAGTACTGCTACATGCTCCAACATGGATGAGCCTTGAAAGGATCATGCTAAATGGAAGAAGTCAGTCGCAAATGACCATATATTATTGTATAATCCCATTTATATGAATTGTCCAAAATACGCAATTCCATAGAGAGAACACAGATTAGTGGTTGCTTAGGGCTGGGAGAGCAGGGGCATGGGAATGGCTGCTAAAGATAATGAAGTTTCTTTTGGGTGTGAAGAAAATGTTCTAAAATAAGTTGTGATGTTTTCATACCTGTGTAAAAACACTCAAAGCCAGTACACTTTAATGGATGGATTTTATGGTATTTAAGTTACATCTCGTTAAGTTGTTAAAAATGTCAATGATAAGACTCTAGGTAATGAGTATTTCACAGGTGCTTACTGTGAAAGTCTTTCCACTTTGCATTTGAACTTTTGAACAAATGTTTTATTTGTTTTATTAAATGTTTTATTTCTGTAGGATGGGGATCTCACTATGTTGCCCAGCTTGGTTTCTAAATCCTGGCCTCAAGCAATGCTCCTGCCTCAGCCTCCCAAAGTGTTGGGACTACAGGCTTGAGCCATGCATGGGTTCTGGCTGAAAGTTTTATTTTTGTTTTTTGTTTTTTGAGTTGGAGTCTCATTCTGTCACCCAGGCTGGAGTGCAGTGGCATGCTCCTGGCCACCGCAGCCTCGACCTGCTGGGCTCCGG